GTTCATGAATATATTTTCTGTCTTTTGTTCTAGACACTTTACCTGTCACATTTAGTTTTCTATTCATTTTAAATTAATTTTTATGCATAGTTTGAGGACTGGGTTAAGGCTCATTTTGTTCTCTCCAATTGTTCATCACTATTTATTGAAAACAAATCTTGGCTAGCCATGGTGGTCCACACCTATAATCCCAGCACTTTGAGAAGCGGTGGTGAAAGATCCCCTGAGCCTGAGAGTCTGAGGCTGCAGTGAGCAATGATCATGCAACTGCACTTCAGGTTGGGAGACAAAGCAAGACCCTGTCTCTAAAAATACAGAAATAAATAAACATTAAAAACTAAAAATAAATTTAAAGAAAAATATTTTCTTGCCTTGGTGACTGCAGAAAATCAGTTTACTGTGTACGTGTGGGTCTATTCCTTGACTCTATTCTGTTGCATTGATCTCAGCTCTCAGGACCACACTGCCTAATTTCTGAATCTTCATAATAAGTCTAAAAATCAAATACTTTAAATACTCCAACTTAGTGGAAGCTTCTTCAAGGTTGTCATGGCTATTCTAGAATTAGCTTGTCAATTTCAATTTGTAAAAGTCTGCTAGGATTTTTATTGATATTGCATTTAATTTATAGATCTATTTCCAAAGAACTATGATATTAATAGTATTGAGTCTTGTGATTAAACATATAACTCTCTAGATCAAGTTTTCAGTAATAGCTTATAATTTTCACTCAAGAGATCTTGCATATCTTTTACTAATTTTTTGTAGGTGTCTAGTATTTTTAACACTATAATCAATGGTATTTTTTCATTTTATTTTTCAATTGCTTGTTGCTTATATATAAAAATACAACTGATTTCTGCCATGTCATCTATTATTATTTTTTTAAAGCAGTTTTATCTTTTCCCTTTCTAACTGGATGCATTTTATTTTGTTTTTTTCTTGCTTTATTACACTGTCTAGGACCTACAGTATGATATTGAATAAAGGTTATAAGCCCTGGCCTTGCATTTCTTCTAACTTAAGGGGAAAAAATTCAACATTTTATGATTAAGGATTATACTAGCTATAGATATGACATAGATACCTTTTTTTAATTTCTGAAAGTTTCTTTCTAGTCATAGTCAGCTGAGATTGATCATAAATAGGTGTTGACTTTCATTAAAACATTTCTCTAAAATTTTTAAATTACATTTGATTTTCTGTCTTCTTAGTGCAGTGAAACAAATTGATTTAGAAATGTTAAATCAGCCTTACTTTTTGAAATAAAATGCAGCTGATTATGAGGTAGTATCCTTTTTAAATATTGGTTGATTTGGCTTGCTAGTATTTTGTTAGAATTTTTGCATTTTTATTCATTAATTATTTATTTATTGCAATAATCTTGTCAGACTTTGGTATCAGGCTTATATTGCTCTCATAAAAGAAACTGATAAATATTTCCTCTTACCTATTCTCTGGGGGAAAAATTTGTAATCAATAGGTTATTTTTTTCTTCTTACAATGTTAGGGAGAATTCACCAATAAAATCCTCTGAACCTGGACTTTTAAAACTTAGAAAAGTTTTTCACTGTGGCCTTGGTTTTTTTAAACATTTTTTTGCACTATTCAGATTTTCCATTTCTTCTTGTGTTCGTTTAGGAAATTGTATTTTTCAACAAATCTGTCCATTTTCTTTAAATTGTCAAATTATTAGCCTGAAGTTGTTCATAATAATAGTTGATATGATAATATCCCTAAAAGACTGTTGGATCTGTAGTAATATCTTATTTATTTGTTTATTTATTTATTTATTTATTTATTTATTTATTTTTGGTCAGTATTCATAGAAATTGACAATGGTACATTTCACCAGAACCCTGTGCTCTGGAAAATAGCAATCATTAAGAAATCCCCTTACTTTTTTGTGTTCCAGAAAAAGACTTACTACAAAGAAACACCCCTCCCTGTATAACTTTCTCCATATGACTTACAGATGCCACCTTCTTAGTCTGTGATGAGGCCAAACACGGACACTCCAAATTCCCACTCTTTGTCCCATAAATTATTAAACTATTTGGCCCCGGCTTCTCAATCAGAATGAAATGCTTGTTAATAGTTAGTGTTCTCTCTTTCTGTCGGGTCTCAGCATTCTAACTCACCTCCACTATGAGCCAACATACAACATACAACCCTTCCTTAATGGCCTTTCTCAAGAGTAGGCTGACCTCAGATAAAACATCCTCTAACATATTGTCTGATCATCTCCTCTCCAATCTGTAATCCTGTTCTTCCAGTTCTCACAAACTGAGTTCTTTCCAGGTTTGTTTACTCTTCCCTATAAAAGAAAAGTCATTTTCTGCTTAACCTTTGAGACCCTTACAGGTCTCATGGTGAGAGCATTTTCCTTATTGCAATAGTCTCTTTCCCCCTCTTGCAATAATCTTTTCAATTAAAGTCTCCTCTTTTCTAAATTTGGAGCTGTTTTTTACCTGTCAGAATTTATCAATTTTACTAATATATTTAAAGAAACAGCTTTGGCTCTGTTAATTTTATCTGTTGTTGGTTTGTTTTCCATTGATTTCTGCTCTTAATTATTTTCTTCTACCTTCTCTCTGTTTTATTATTCTTCTGTTTTATAACTTATTGAGATGAAAGCTTAGATCATTTAGTTTAAAACTGTTTTCCATTTTAATAGATTCACTTAGAGCAATAAATGCACCCCTCTATATCCCACAAATGTTGACGCATTGTGTTTACATTTTTGCTCGGTTCAAAACATTGTCTAACT